TCACTTGTGGTGTGAGCAGTGGCAGCTGGGCACGCTCCACAAAACAAGCCAGCTTTATTATTTTATAAAAGCTCTTCAAGCATGGTGTGACTTTATACTGTATCCACTTGAGCTGCACATTCCAGCTCAAAATTCCTTTCTGATGCTTTCCTGATAGACCCATTTCTTTTGTCTTTAAGAGAAGGTTTTGGAGACTCAGATTAAATCTGTTGAGAAGCACAGGCTGCTGCAAATGCAGTGCTCATCTTAAAAATTGGATCTGACACTTAATGGAAAAGCAAATCTTTCTTTTTTTTTAGCAGCACTTTAAAGCACCTACTGCATCCCAACTGGAGTGGCCATATTTCAGAAGTGAGTGATCTAACAGCCTTCTGTGATCTCCAATACATTTTTAGTTTTCATCAGACCATTCACTGACAGTATGTCATTAGAAATGCTCTCAGGGAAAGTATTTATAAAGTATTATCAAAGGGGGAACCTGTGTTGACTGCATTGTGTGATAAGGCATATTATAAAATATATGGAAAATAAAATGAGCTGGACCCAATCCTAATGGATAAAAAGCTAAATCATAGGTTTGTTGTGCCATCTTAAAAAGGCTTAGTAACCCCTTGTAGAATATCCATAAAATGTTTCAGTGCTGTGACATTTCCAATATGACAGCTAGCTGAATAGAATGACAATAACTATATCCATAGCCCTTTTTGTCTATTTATTTAGTGCAGTACTGAAAAATTATTCAAGAGCATATATTTATACTGGACCTACAGATTGCATTAGAACCTCTTCAGAAATAATAATTGATAATGGTCCTGTTCATAACTGAGAAACACTGATTGCACTGGCTAGAGCTTGGCATGTTGTACACATGATGTGTAATCTTTCCCACAAAGCTCTGCCCATGCACCTTATTCCTGACCTCCTAGCAGAAATGCATTTTAAGGAGAAGGAATTGAGATGTGATAACAGAAATAGTTGTGGGCATGTTTGATTCACGTCCCTCTTTCCTCACTCAGATTGAAGCAGCCAGTTATCTGAGTCTAAAGCAGCACTGGAGATGATAAACTCCAGAAGTCTGCTAGGCAGAGTAAAATCAGAAAAGTGTTTATGATAAGCACACTGAACATACTTTACCCCATATACTTCATGGGGTAGCTCGTAGGGCTATTGGAAGCCTGAATTCATGTTGGTAAAGTTTCTAGACTACACCTCTCTGTCGACAGAGAGATGTAGATTAGGCACATTGAAACTGCTAATGAAGCAGGGATTTAAATATACCATGCCTCATTAGCATAAACATGGCCACCGCTTTTTTTTGAAACCGAGGGTTTTTTTTTTTAAAAAAAAAGGTAGTCTAGACAAGGATCTGTCTAAAATAAAGCCTTTTTTGACAGATCCTGTAAACCTCATTTTTTGAGGAATACAGGATCTGTTGAAAAAGACTTTATTTTCGATAGATCCGCATCTAGACTGCCGTTTTTTAAAAAAACGCCATTTAGAAAAAAAGCGGCAGACATGTTTATGCTAATGAGGTGTGGGATATTTAAATCCCTGCTTCATTAGCAATTTTGATGTGCTTGATTTGCATCCCTCTGTCAACAGAGGGATGCAGTCTAGATGTAGCCTTAGACTCCTCAGATGAGGGGAGAGTAAAAGGGCACAGCTTCAGATATTATTGCGCTTCAGATTGTCTGTGACCACAATTATTTTAAACTTGACAACAATAACAATTGGTACATAATTCTATAAATGTTGTCATGTATGTAGTGTGACGGGATTGGCACACTTGATGGTGGGTATGTGCAAGTATAGATACATGTAATAATAAAGGATCGTTTAACTGATAGAGTCTAAAGGCTACTCCAAGTACTTATTTGCTCTTTCAGATATGCAGAAAATGTGTAAGCCAAAAATTGCTCATGCAAAAAAAAAATTGGATAGGAGTAGTAGTTGCTTTTCAGCAGAAAATCTACTATATTAGAGACTTCGTCTGTTTAATTAAGAACGTCTCCTGAACAGTAAGAGCTAGGACCACCAAATTCGACATATAGCTTCCTCTGATCATAATTTAAAGCAAAATCAAGGTTTGGTTGTACCAGGAAAATGGGATGCACCTGGAATGGGATTGCTTCTCATAAAGCCAATCACAAAATCACGTACAGTCCTCAAAACTAGCATAACTGAAGACATGTTGAAAGAGACTGAACCAAGATAAGCCAGAAAAATAGGATCAGCCTGGAATAGGATTGCTTCTCAATAAGCCTTACAGAAAAAAGAGATAAAATTGAGAAATTTGGAGTTGTGCTCTGTTTTGGCACAGCTAAATCAGTGCTTAAGATTTGAAAACTATAGAAGAAAATGTTATTGGAAACCAAATTGACTACAACTCTTTTTTTTTGTTAAAACATAGCAAATGATAAGAGTGTATAGGGATGAAGAAAAAAATACACTTGATAGAATTCCCATTTAAAAAAAAAATGAATGAAAAACCTAAATAGACAAATTTTAACAATCCCTCTTTTAAAAGAAATCCAAAATAAAAATTAACTTAAGTAAAATAACATTATTTTTGAAAAATATAATCATTGAAATAAAGCACGTATACGCTCCTTTCATTTAAAAAAACGTAATTGAATTATAGACCTGAGAACATTGGGTAAATGTGCTAGTAATAATAAGTTTTAACTTTTTTTTCTTCTCCTGCACCCTGATGTACATAGGTTTTCTATCATTTTTTTCAGAATTTTAGTTTGTATATCAATGAGGTTGTTTATTAACCTTCCTTACTAGAAATTAAAACATTAAGGATAAATTTTTAAACATTTTCCTAACTAGTGTAAGTGTGTAAGTCTCACTGGAAATCATTGGGTCTTGGCCTCTGAAGTCTCTTAGGCACCTTTAAAAATGTTTCTTTAGACAATTACATTTAAGCTTGATCTTCTGCAGAAGTCTACTTGAGTTTTTTCAGTGAATTTGGGAACTCTTTGTGTACTTTTCTAGCCTGCCTTGTTTTAGCTGACAGGGAATTTTTTTTGGCAGTCACATATACCTGGAAGAGAGGCACTGCTAAGTTAAAGAAACAAACAAACAAAACACCTTTGAGAAGCAACACAGAGCTACTAAGTTCTTTAGAATTCTAGCAACATGTAAGTCTTTCTTTTTTTCTTTTCCCAGGGTAATTCTGGCCTGGGGTTCAGTATTGCTGGAGGAACAGACAACCCTCATATTGGGGACGATCCTGGGATATTTATTACTAAGATTATACCAGGAGGAGCTGCAGCAGAGGATGGAAGACTCAGGTAAGCATCTCATGCATTTAGGAACTAAATGTACTGCTGTTGTTAATTATTTTTAATGCTCAAATGGGTGCTAGGTGTTGACAGAGGACACAGAGACATGGGGCTAAATTCTCTTTGCTGTGCCTGCACAAGCATTATGAAGTAGCAAGAGAAGGCTACTGAAGAATTTCCTCTGTACTGGGGAATTCCCTGCTGGCTTAAAGCTGCCAGAGGCTCCACCTCTTTCTCTGTCTCAGCCATCCCAGCTGCCTTCAGAGGGCACAGTCTGGGCAGATCAGGGACAGAGGCATACCAGTGAGGAGCTCCATCATGCCTAATCTCTACACATACACACTAGAGGAACATTATTCCAGTGACATAGGTTAAGGATTCCCCTGCCCAGCCCTTAACTAATAAGGTGCCCGCAGCTTCCCTTTGCACTCCGCTTTGGAGACTCCTGGCCATTCTTGGGCTGTAGAGGGGAGGTTTATTCTTTCTTCCATCTTCAGATGGCCTTTTTCTTCAGATGAGAACCTAATCACAGTGTTCTATCCTTCTGCCACCTCCGCCTAGGTTATTGCAGTTGCTTTTGGGGTAAACACTGAAGCCATAAGCAGCAACTCTCACAACATGGGACAGTGTACCTTTTAAGCAACAACAGCCCAAATGAACACTTCATACCAGTGCTTGTGCTTCCCATTTATTTATGGACTGAATTCAAAGTCCTAGTCCTAATCTGCAAGGTCCTACGCATAAAAGGTGTTCAGTTATCACCACAATTGCCTCTCCATCTGCTAGCCACTAAGTGTACAGCTACACTGCAATTAAAAGCCTGTGTCTGGTCCAGCCTTGCTGGCATGGGCTTGCGGGGCTCAGGCTGCAAGGCTGTTTAATTGCAGTATAGATTTTTTAATTTGGGCTGCAGCCCAAGCTCCGGGACCTTTGCATGGTCCTAGAATCCGAGCTGCAAACTGAGTGCACAAGTCTGTGCTGGAATTAAACAGGCCTCTGGCCACAGTCCCTAGCAAAGTCAGTATAAACTACAATTTCTCACAGGCGGTGACTTATTTTATGCTGTTCTATATTCTGCACTCTGACATGTAAGCACAATATTTATATTCCAATTTGTTTATTTTGTAACTGTATGTAGGGCTCTAGCAAATTCAAGGTCCATTTTGGTTAATTTCACAAACATAGGATTTAAAAAATTATAAATGTCTTGATTGCAGCTATATCAATCTGAAATTTCACAGTTTTGTAATTGTAAGGGTACTGACCCAAAAGGTAATAGCATGGGGAGTTGTAAGGTTATTGTAAGGGGGACGCGCTACTGCTATTCTTACTTCTGCACTGCAGTTGATAGTGGCGCTGGCTTCAGAGCTGGACAGCTGGAGAGCAGATGCTGCTGGTTGGGAGCCTAGCTTTGTAGGCAGAGCTGCTGCCTACTGAACTGAGCCACTCTCTGGCTGTTCAGCTCTGAAAGCAGCACAGAAGTAAAGGTGGCAATACCGCAAACTTCCTTGCAACCTCCTTTTGGGCCAGAACTCCCAGTTGGATAAAACCGTTCTGCCCTATGAAATCTGTACTATACGGGGTAAAAGGACAAAAATGGCCAGATTTCCTGGGGGGAGACTCTTCATGATCCATGATGCATTGTTCATGGCTGTGAATTTAGTAGGGCTCTAATTATATGGTAAAAATGAGAAAGTAATAATGTGCTGGGGCGCCTTGGCATTTTTATGTTTGTGTAAGCATGCTGCTTTGGGGGCATGTAAGTCAAATCAGACTCTTGAAAGGGGTACTGTAATCTAGAAAGGTGGAGAACCACTTCCTTAAGACTTCTGGGGCACCAGATAAAATAGATAGTTGGTAGGCACAGGATAAACTTGTTAGTCTGTGTGAATAGTGTTCTCAGTGGTGGGATATGAGTTGTAAGAAATCCTTGCTGTAAGAAATCCTTGCCACTTGTGGCATGCGTGCTGTAGGTAGCTGACCCCTGTTTTAAATGCACAGAAGGTAGTATACTAAGGCAATTCTTAAAACTGTATTAAAAACATAATGACAGTATTTATCTTCAGCTCAGAAAAGGTTAAATATTAGAGAAAGCATAAGTTTTCCTATTACTAAGATTTAATTTTTTTTTTACAAAATATATTACATAAGTAGCACGTTGTGAAATGCATTATCATAAATAGTTCAATTTGAACTGTAGTTTTAAAAAGAAATGATAAAGGTGCAACTGGCGTTCTGTTTCTCATTAATTTGTAAGCTTCATTCATTCGTAATGTGTCTGTCAGTCATTAGTGCAAATTACGTAGATTCAACTGCTGTTGCAATTTAATCTGAAGGGCAGGCAAGTGTGCTGCTTTCAATAAAACTGCTTTAAATGGAAATGATTTTTGAGGTTTGCACATATTTATCTGGGCTTCTGTGGTTTGGACGGAAGGGGAAAGAATTTATATTGAACTAGACTAAGTAAAATCTGTGAAAACACAATGAATTTTAAAGAAAATAAAGTACTCTACTAGGAAACTGTTAGGCTGTGTCTACATTGGCAAGATTTTGCACAAAATCTTGCCGCCTGTCTACACTGGCTGCGAGTATTTGCGCAAGAACACTGACGTTGTAATGTACAAAATCAGTGCTTCTTGCGCAAATACTCTGACGCTCCCGCTCAGGGATAAGTCCTCTTGTTAAAATAAGTGTTCTTGCGCAAGAGGACAGTGTAGACAGGTAACATCAATTTCTTGTGCAAGAGAGCCTCTACACTGGCATGGATGCTTTTGCGCAAAAACAAATCTTTTGCACAAAGGCACATGCCAGTATAGACACTCTAGTGCGCAAAAACTTTTAACGGAAAAACTCTTCCATTAAAAGTATTTGCGCAAAATCATGCCAGTGTAGATGCAGTCTTAGAGTTTTGAAGGCTCCTCCATAACTCCCCAGTTAGACTTTTCTCCCTCCCAGCTAGCTGCCCAATTGTTTACAATGTCAGTTCCCAACAAACCATTTTATAATTTCATAATCTGTAATGATTTTTATTCACCTTCCTGGCTGTCAAACACATACTGCACCATTATCTTGCTTTGTTTTTAATATAATTTGTTCAGTGATTTTTAGAAACTTCACATTTAGAAGCCAGTCTGCAAGTGCAAAAATCTGGAGTTCCAGATATTTGTTTTCACATAAACTCCATGTTCTCCATATTTTTGGGGTTTGGAACATTTATTTTATTCCACAGCTCTAATTTCCATACTACCACCATAGAAGTTAAACTATTGCTGTATTATATTTGTACAAGTGGATCTCTGATGGATCACCTGCTCTTCATATTCTTCTACTATACTCAGAATTTTAGTGCTAGTGAATGATGTCTATCTTGTTCGAAGATCTAAGTATTACTTTATTAAAGATTTCCTGAGCAGCTTTTTTTTGTCCCATCCTCAGACTCCTGCCATTTTGAGGCATAATGTACCCTCTTTGCAGGAACAAAACAAAATCAACATGCAGCAACAGTCAATAATAATTGCCCCGTGCCAAGTTCCCAATGCTAAAACAATTTAGAACTCTCTTATGTAGAAGTATGTGATTTTTTTTTTATAGGGAATGAAATATTTGCCTGTGTCCATATCTATTCCAGATTCTGCATGCAGGTATTTCAGATTATATAGCAAAGTTCATCATGTGAATAGGGAGCTCTGTTTGCTACCAGCTCTTAACTCCCCAAAGTCTGTAGTACTACTTTTTTTCTTTTTTTTAAGTGGAAGCAATTTTGGTATGATTGACTTGAATACAGACTACTGATGGCAGGATTTGAAGTGACCTCCAATTTACAGCAACTGTTCTTGCAGACTTCTCTGAATCTTGTGTACCTTTCTGTGTGTGATTAGTCCAATGAACTTTAGTGGGACTACCTATGTATGTGAAATTAAGTACAAATGTAACTGTCTGTAGGATTGGGTCCAAGATGACTGATTTTTTTTTTATACAGGGATGAAATAAATTTAACGATAGTGTACGTTGCTCAGTTTATCTTTGTACTACTTAACCTAGAGCAACATGTCTTTTAAATATAAATTGCCATTTCTTATTATATTTGTTTTAAAAGAGTAATCTATTAATATAGTGTTTTTCTCTGGGAAAATCCCAAATATTTTACAGCTAATATTTTTGCATACACCATCTCTGAAATGTAACCATCTCTGGAGTTGAAGATAACAGTCAAATAGTGCAAAACACACTGGTGCAGAGGATCGTTTCTCTAAAGGCATTGGGATGAACACCTCATCTTACAAAATCCATGGAAAGCCATGGAATTTTTAACAATGTCCAGAGAGAAAAGACCTCTGTTCATTGTATTTTCTCTGATAACTGGGGAATTTGAGATATTAACTTGTTAATTTCAGGTTGATTTTTATTCTTATGACTTTTATTATGCCTTTATAAATATTGTAAAAAACAAAAAACAAAACCAGATCCACCTAGCACTTAATTGCCACTGGGCTGTGCATTGTGGCCTCTCAGAACTTCATGCAGGAACAGAACATTCTGCTTGAGAAGTAGAGGTCTTGACCCTTGAATCTGTGGAAGAAATTCTTATCAGTCATTTGTGCACGCTGTGAAGTAGTTCTTCCATCCTGTAGATATCAGTGGCACACATACAAGGCAACAAAGAAATCCTGAGTTAAGACTCTGTACGTACAATAGAATTTTCAATAACTTATGGTTTAGTTACCTTACTTTTATCCTGATGTTCTTTTTGTCAGAAAAAAACATTACAATGGATTTTTAATGACTCAGTCTGTGGGAATTGAGGTTCCTGGTTTACACAAACAACCTGGCTGTGTCTAGACTGGCCAGTTTTTTCAGAAAATCAGCCGCTTTTCCGGAAAAACTTGCCGGCTGTCTACACTGGCCGCTTGAATTTCCACAAAAGCACTGACTTCCTACTATAAGAAATCAGTGCTTCTTGCGGAAATACTATTCTGCTCCCATTCAGGCAAAAGTCCCTTTTGCGCAAA